TGATGTACAGCTACAGTGCAGGGAGAGTAAACCCAGTGACCTCCAGGGTCTCTTCAACATAAAAGAACATTATACAGTTTAACTTCATAGGTTAAAACTAGCCGACAGTATATAGAAGAGACTAAATCAATAGACAAAGATAAAAAGTCATTTGAATAAGTTAAAGTTGCATATAGTCCTTTCATTTTTAAAAATCTTAAAATGATTTTAATGTTTTGTTTCTTGTTTTGTTGAGCACTTTGAGTTGCCTTGTGTATAAACTGTGCCATACAAATAAACTTGCCTTGCCTTACAAAATCATTTCATATTTTAGAACGTGAAAAAATATCCCAAGTGGAAAATATTTGTGTAAGTGTAAAACATGATTTCTCCCTATAACTCCCTCTGCTGCCACCAGAGGGTTTCAAAGTTAGAGTTAGAGTTAGGGTCAGACATATCGATTGTACAGTTACTTCACTTGAGAAATTATTTTAAGACAGACTTTGGCATCATCATTACAGGTTTGAGACAGGAGCACTTTGAAAGACGCAGAGTTACATATTTGAGCCAGAAGTCCCTGATATTAGCTTGGATTTTTGCATAATATGTCTCTTCACCTTGTCATTCTGGTCCATGATAAATGGTTTGGCTGCTTGTTTGTGAAAAACACATGGATACAGCAGCCATCAGCAGAGATATAGCTCATAGACAGACCTCTAGTTAGGCTCGAAATACTTCATCAGGCACCGAGTCTGCAATTAACATGTCGTTTTGTCTCTTAAATCGAACGGGAGGAGACAAGAGCACGGGTACATAGCAATTAAGCAGAGCATTTTTCCAGTTCGAGCTCTGGGTCACACCACAATGTGTCCATTCATACATTATCTATCGTTGGAAAAGAGTGATGTCATGTTTGTAATCCTATCTGACTTCCTTTGCATCAAACTTCAGCACTCAAAACACTACCCAGGGATTTTTCTCAGCACAGGGAAAGTGAAACAACTGTGTACAAGTATATCCAGGTATCGCTTCACAGGTCGTTGAGTTTATGTGACTGGGCAGTCTGGGGGAGAGCCATGTGGAGATATAACTGTAAACAGGTGTCCAAACTGTCCTCTAAAACCTCAACCTGTTCAGATATCATACAATTTATTCAAGAATAATTTTTTTTAGGTGTTATGATTAATAATGAATTTTAGACTATAACAGTAGCTTGATATTTTTAGCAATTAAGCATCAATTAAGTCATTTTTTCACTGCACAAAGTGATGGGAGCAGGGATTAGGCGCATGCTGGACCGATTGTACAATTCTTTAGAGGTAGGGGAAACCGGAGCACCTGAAGGAAACCTACACAGACACAGGGAGAATATGCAAACCCCACATAGACAGCACATGTCCGGTTTAGACTGTTCCCAAAGTGGCCAATGTAAAAGCCATGCCCTCAAAACATCTTTAGACCAGATTTTTCAGACGGGAAGTGAAAAAGAGAGGACCACCCTCACTCAGCCAATCAGCTCTCAACCCAAAAACTTCAAGTAGTGTTCTCTAAATCTGGATCTGTTCATAAATCATGGGGGTGGGGTTAAGTGTCTTGCCCAACTAAGCCATTGTCGCCCCAACCCAAGTTTAACATTAGGATTGATATTATTAGTAAGTAGTAAATAATCTTCTCACAGTGACGGGAGCGGGATAGGGTGAATTCCAGACCAATTGTACAGGTCTGTAGTGGTACAAGAAACCGGGGCACCTGGAGGAAACCGGAGCAAACACTGGGAGCCCATTCAAACTGCACACAGGAAGGCAGAGTCTGGTCGAGGCTGTTCTCCAAGTGGCCAATGGGAAGGACAACTGTATGTGGTTAAAAACAAATATTTTCGCATCCTCGAGCATTTGTCTGTAATGAATGAGACGATTACGCAAATGGTTAATAGTAATTGCTTCCAGTAAAAGCAAAAGTAATGTCACCGCAAATTTGCCACAAGATTAACATATCCATCTGCACCACGACAAGTTTACTGACGTGGAATTAGACTTTTACCACACACATTCTTTTTACGGTGAGATCCAAGCTGCTTCATGGTACAGCGATAAGTGAGAGATTTAGTGCCTATTGCGCGACGCGGTGGGTTCACACGTTCACAGTATTCTGTCGTTGGACCATGGGAAAATGGATGTTGTTGATGGTTTGTGATGTATCCAAGACGATTTAAGAGTCTGCTTTGCTTTGATAGAGACAGACAGAAAGTATTGGTGTGCCATTGTGTTGTCAGAACAGTCCAGAGACACTCTTCTTATCAATGATGCGTTCTCTGTCAGTGGAAGTATACCGTCTGGACCAGATTTTGTCAAATTAAATCTGTGGTACTTAAGTTTCAAACCACAGAGAATAGAACTATGTAGTAAAATCATGGATCTATAATAATAACTGGATAGTGCATTACTAGCTTAAATCTGTTCCACCCACGAGCACAGGGGGCGCCCGTGGTACTGCAAACTAAATTCACGCGGGCTACCCAAAGAACTCAATGTAAATTTAAACAGCACGACCTCAGCTGACAGAGAACCTACAACTTTCAGAAATATCGGATTTTAGTGTCCCTTGTCATCCTGAACTTTTTTTCTTCTTAAATCCTTCTCTGATGAGCAGCTCTGATTGGTCAGAGCGCGGCCGAGCCCCTCTGTGCGCGTGCGTGAACGCCACACACGCGTATTTGGCGCAACGCATTATGGGAGCTCGTCCACTGAGAAGAACTCAATTAGCAATTAGCAAGTTCTGCTAATCTCCCGGTCTCCGTGAAGTCCCATGCGCTACTGAGCACAAGCCATTCATTTGAATAGGGCGCCATCTTGGATCACCGGGGCTTGGGTAAAATCCATGTAGCGAGTGCCATGCTCTCAAAACACTTTTGTCCTATGCGTGTTTTTGGCTTCTGTCACATCTTTGGATCAGATTTTTCAGACAGGAAAGTGAAAATGAGCTCTCAGCCAGAAAGCGTCAAAAAGTGACTCACATGGTTTATTACAAGTGTGCAATGGATAGCACGTATATTTAATGGCAAATAATATGTATTTATTTATGACACAAAAAGATTTATGGGCCCAGCCTTAAAGTGGTAAATTGTGAGGATGGAGAGATGTTCATCAAAGGAAACACCAGTAAGACCCGCCCCCAAAGATTCCTAATTGGATGCAATTAATTCAAATCCTTGATCGACATCTGCGGCCCCTCCCCATTGGTCTAAGTATCTAGAAAATCTTACTGCCGATGCTTATTCCAAGGGGAGGGACTGTTTTAAATATGTATAATGAAAAAGTGTACATTTTGATGATATAATGAAATACAATTGAAGTTGCAGTTAATAATGATATCTAGTTTCATACAAATATCCAAAACTAGAAAAAAAAATTATTTTCTTGCCATAATACACAATATGCCACACCACTATAAAAAGTACATTTAACAAATTAAATAACAACCATTTCAATAACTAATAGTGAAAAATGGGTAATTCTGTACAGTTTTAAGATCAGGATTCAAGTTTTCATGAATCAATGGCCTTTGAATCTCCTATTGACACAAACTCATGCAAAATAACTATTCATCTCAACCCAAACACTATAGATAATAGGTCAATTGAATACTTCCATTCGAGCAGTAACGTTAAGTGACTTGAGTGTGAAACTGGCCAACCATTCTCCTAAGCTCCCCATAAAAAGGCTGTTTCTGGCCACACACTCCTCTTGGCAGGTTTCTGATTTCAGACCAGTAGAAAAGTGCGGTCTCACCACCCAGAGACGGTGCATACATATTTTCCATGGACCAAAAACAAGTGAGTCATATTGGAGTGGTAAATATGAAATCCCCAAATGGAAATCGCAGTGCAATAATAGAAAACACGTCTACGCTTCTCCGAAACAACAAATCCCACTTAATCCATGTATTAGATTCCTGTAATTATATTCATCAACACAATCATTGGCTGTGGGCGCTGTGTGAATCACTGCATGTGGAACTGATCACAAAGACACAAACAGTAATTATTCTGAACAGCTGTAGAGCAGAATGGACGCTCCTTTCCTGCCTCCCAGTGGATGGATTAATATCACAAACTCCAGCGACTACAGGAAGAAAAACTGGTTCTATTTTGAAGTTGTAATACATAAATCAGCCACTAGATGGAGGCATGGGCAAATTCTTAAAAGGGCAGCATTTTATATCTTCACTGCATAGAGATACTGAAAAAGTACTATTACTATTCTATTCTATACATTTCTAATACTTTTCTATTCTATTAATTTCATATGATTAATGTCCTAATGGCCCAAACAATTAATTTTAGTAAGTTGTTTTCTATATTTAGTGGTGAAAAAAAATACTATTGCAATTTCTTTGGGCCCGACATCAGGTAATTTGCTTGGACTATGTAACCATCAACTAATATGTTTTCCCAAGTAAAGTAAATATGCATTTTGTGTTATAAGCCAATATAAACATGGATAAACTTGTGTATCTTCTGCTAACAAGCTCCAGACAGACAGCACTGCAACGATTGACTGTCACCCAACTGAACACTGAACCCCTGTAATTGGAGATTGCATTAGTGTGTCAGCGAACAAAGCCGCACGCACATCCAGTTTGGAAAGATGATGCAGAAGTGTGTAAATAATGACTCATTTCAACAGTCTGCACCAAAGCCAAACTGTGAGTGACTTGCATTTCAATCGCTGCAACTATAAAAGCAGGTGAAGATCACAGTGAGGTTGACTGGGAGAGAGAAACAAGGCTACAAAGTTGAAAAGAGTAGCTCAGGCGACAAATTCAATTTGGCAAGAGGTATTATGCTCCGCCGCTGCTCTGATAGGGTGACAGGCCCGCACAGCCTTCACCGAGAACGGCCCAAAATAAATGTCACCACCGATTCAACAACAGGTGCAGGATCAATATCCATCACACAGTTCACCTTGTGCATTCCAATATAAATAAACTATTACATGTTTTGGATTCGAATGTGGCTTTACCTAGAAGTTCCATGGCGTCGTCTTCATCCTCCATCTCCTCCTCCACGAGCGACGGTGCGGGGCTGTGGATTGAGTCGAACGAGTCCTGGGACAACATGGACGCCAACACTTTCTTATGCTGCTGCTGCTGCTCCTTCAGCCCTTTGTTCTTCCCCTCCATGATGAGGCTGAGAGGCACAAAAGAGCCACGCAGTTATCAGTTAGAGCTCGTCCAGCCATTTCAACATTTAACATTTCCCTAAATGCGATATTATTCTCATTATGCACCCAGAGAGTTGTTTTTCCAAAGAGCCCAAATAGCCAATAGTTTAACTTTCAGCTTTCCGCATAACAACTGTCAAAAGTCAAACTTCTAAACTTAGTTTAGAGCCAATACCTCTGTAATGTCTGGGTCTATCCAAATGAAACAAAAACTGTCACAAAGTTCAACATCTTCTTTATCAGCTCATAAGAACAGTGCATGATGTTAATCAGTAAATAATACTTTTTAAAGTGAGAATAATATGGCGTGTATGTGGAGATTAGAAAACATTTCTTTAAAAAAATTATTCATTCCAAGAGAGTGTTACCAAACTGAATTATAATTCTAGAACACGAACACAACCAATTGGACGTCTTGTTTATATTCCGTACACAGAGGGTTCTGACTCGGGGTTTTACACAATATGAAATTGTGCAAAAATGAAGCACTTTCCCATTTTAAATAATTCCCCTTTCTAGCTAAACTCAAACCTAATGAGATTAACAGACTGCTTAATTTACCATTTTACAATAATCCATTCCAATTAGCCTCACTGTTACGAGCAGACATGTCACAGCAGAGAACTCCAACCTAAATGAATAAGGAGGCCTGTCTGATGCACACACACTGATCCATAAGCAATAAAGTTGAAATGATTTAACAGTTCCATATATCATGCAGTTGTTTTGTCAGTAATTGGCCATTTTTTTAATAACAAGCACATGATTCCTTCGGCCTTGAGGCTCTAGAAACGAGGTTAGCTTTAGTTCAGAAGTGGTATCATGGCAGTGCACTGGAACAGGATCATCTGCCTGGTTCACATGGGCTCTCTCAGGGCATCTCTCCAGTCTTGATGTGTGTTTCTAAAGAACCCACAATACCTCTGTTCAAGTTTTGTGACGTGTCCTGCTCACACATGTGCAGACCTGCCAGAGAGACTGTTGTTGCTGCTCCAGCACAGAGCAGCTTTGATGCGGGGGTTTGGAGGCCGCAGCATCTCCTCAGCCAGGGGGTCCGGGTCCACCTCAGCACGACCCATCCACTCCCCAACTACACGGGGCCGCAGCAAGGAGTTGTAGCCTCCCAAATTCTACAAAAGACAAGACAATATACTTTAGAAGGGTAACAACCTATTCTTTATTTATATTAACCCTTTAATGGTTTCCTCAACCATTTGGTGGTTTAATCTTTGAGTCTCTATTTCTACTTGAAGCTTGGAACGGAAATCTACCTCATTGGGGAATCTCTCACTTGATTTTAGGCACTTTTACCATTAAACTGCATCTCAACCATTTGATAAAGGCTTATATTTAAAGAAGTAGGGGTTACAAAATCCAAAAAAGAAAAGAATTACATTGCTTTCTACAAGGAGTGAACATGAAAGGGTTAAAGCTGGGGAACCTTTTTGTTATATAAATATATATACATACAGTATATATATTTTAAATGTCACCACAGAAATACTGTTGTGAACACAATAGACCTCAACATGCTGTCTTAAAACATCATATTTTGCATATTCGGAATGAAGATCCCTGTGAGTCACAGTTTGACGCTTTGGGCTGAGAGCTGTAAAAACATTGTACATTTCTTCAGGTGAAATAAATAAAGAATACTTTCTTACTTACTACTTACAAGTTTTTTATTGTTAATAATATTCATTGTTTATTTGCACTATAAGGGAAATTTGCACCATAAGATAATGGGTTAATAAGTTTTGATGCAATTGCATGTAACTTAACTTAATTATTACACAATACTTTGCGGTTTATAGTCGTGGAAAGCCGTGTTATCATAATTAAACTGCAGTAACGGATCTGAGCTTTTACCGAAGATCGTAGTGATGACATGATGCGGATGCTGCAGTGACTTCCTATGGCACGAGTCTATATCCAGGTCTGTATCACGTTCTATGGTCTGTATATAAAACAAGATTGCCCTGTCTTCTCCATTGTCCTTCCACAATGTTAGACAATCTCTGGGCCATAAGCCAAGTGTGGGAGTGAGGGCTGCAGAGTGAGCGAAAGAGGATTCCTGCGAAAACATATGGTGTGTGTCACGTTCAGACCAATCATGTCCAAACAGCAGCAGACGGCATCTTCAGTCTGGGCAGCAACAGAAATATTGTTCAAATATGGGGCTAAGTGAGGACAAACTGCACTATCAAACAACTGGGGGGAGCCAAGGGACATCTTTGCAGGAATATTTGTCCAGAATTACTTTGCTGAGCTCGCCACATGTGCACCATTAATTACTTAGATTCAATGTATTCTTGTATACTGTAGCCCTAAATCACAGTAGTAGTTAACTCGGAGGACTTTACAAAACCGTTGAATTCGCCAACACAGATGACCAATGTCTATAAGTGTTGAGAAATGTTGCGGAATGTTAAGTGTCCTGGATCATCACTGTCCTTAGACCCTCCAGCATTAGCAATGAAAAAAAAAAAAAACAGTGGAAGAAATGTGTGAAACCTGAGGGAGGAATCTGCTCCCATAGACAAAGAGGCTATAGATCCTAGGCTGAATTAAAGATATGTATAATTGGTTTGTGTTTTGTACTTGATGATACTGTAAGTGTGTTTCACCTGATCAAGCTCGTCCGTTATGGCAATACCTGTTGAGAGAAGGAAAAAAAATACATAAATTACTATTAAGGATATTGTATCCAGGGTTTTCAAGTCTGATGAAAATGAAGGCTACAGCCATTGTGATTGACAACTCAAAACAAAGAATTCTATCTTTTGAGCGGAAATGGGGTCCCCAGGATATTGCATGGCACAGGAAGATGAAGCCCATGAATATCAAATGAATGGGGATTATCTACAGTGGCCAAAACAGAAAACGATGAGAGGTTTCAAAGACCATTATTAACATGTAACATTCATGAGGATTAGAGGTAATGGTGTGTTTCATGTAAGTCCGTACTGCGTGAGAGGCTTTCCAGGGCCTTTCCCAGCTTCCGGCTCTCCTGCAGGATGTGGCTGAGCTCGTCGAAGTCCCGGCTCTCTCTCCAGTCCCAGGCTGGACATTCGATGGACCGCGGCACTGAGACGAGCACAAAGATGCATGAGAAATATGTGTACGCATCACAGCTTGCTTTGTTTGAAAAAGGATTTGAGAGCTACAGTAGGATTATGTGAAATTAAAATATCTGTGTGAAAAGTCAACACACTGTCCAAGCTCAGAGCCGAGGGGCGAGAATCCAAATACGGTCTGTTTGATGAACATTCAAAAAACCAAAGGGAGATCAGAAGATGACCCACATAGTGCCCTAGCTCCTGCCACATGCTTCATTAATGAATAGTTGGTTTATTTATAAAAAAAAATAGATCAGATTTATATAGGACAGGGCAGCTGTCAGTTCATCCATGCCTAGATAGACCATAGACGTAATCAACTTGCTACTTAGACAATGCCCACAATGCATTTCGGCTTTTGCTGGGGGTCTGTATGTAGTAAAGTCAGAAACTGTGGGAAAAAGCACGGCTTAGTGGTTTCTGTGATCAGGGATCACAGAAACACTAAACCACGGCGTCAATAGAATAGAAGTGATCGCCATCTGCTGGCCATTGGCAGAATTTAAATCAGCAGGACCCCGGGAATATGAGATCTTTTTTACTGTTAGACTTTTCAAAATCAACTAGTTATGGTACAGACTTGTTTAAACTTTGGTTTTGTTGAAGAAGAAGAAGAAGAAGAAGAAGAAGGTCCTTAATTCATCCCGCAATGGGGAAATTTCAGTTTGATGCATACACATATACATACATATACACATACACATCAAGGCGAGCAGCGAACCTCAAACGTCTCTGAAAGTTTATGTATAACAGTTGGAGATTGTGTTTATTAGATGGATGGCATATGACCCTCCGTCTTGTCCTCCATCACAGACAATCTGTTAAAGATTGGGGTCAGTTTTGATCAATTTTATCACTTCAGACATATAGCAAAACCTATTTAATGAAACCACCTGTGAGTAAGATCTGTGAAAAGGCAAGTAAGGAAGTACACAAGTATCAAACACTGTCTTCAGTCATAGAATTAGGTATCATAGGTTGTAACTGAATAGTAGTAGAGGCACATATCTGAACGTCCTGAATGATCTGTAATGGCAGGTGCAAAATGATGCTCCATTTCCAAACGCACAAAGCTAAATGAATGAGCGCTGGAGAGAGTTTGACAGCTCTGCCGTTCCGATCTGCCATCTCCTGCTCCTGTTTACCCTGACTAAGCCGCTTGGCGTAACAGTCGACATCACACTGCCAATCCAAGAGCCAAATCCAGACGGGAGACTTTTCATTACTTCAGGCAAAGACTCTCCTGCCCATAGAGCAAGTCTGACACAGCTCTCGGGCCAGCAGGACTGCCGACACCGGGGGTAAAGGAGAAATGTGGCTTTGTTCAAAATTTAATGCATTTATTTTTGTACAGCCCAAAACAACAGCAGCATTGGTCTCAAAGGGGCGCCACAGAATAATAATGAAAAAAGAAAGTTAAATAATTAGAAAATCCAACACTAAAACAAATAGCTTGTTCGTGTTTCATAATAACAATGCAATGACTGTAAAATTAAAAACAGAAATAAATTGTGTCAAAAGCTGCGGCAACCTTCCTTGCTTTTCCCTGACACGTACATTTTAGGGAAAACTCTTGAATTTTACATCAACGCACCGAGACATTTCACATGAATTTTTGATAAAATGTCATTAAAAGTGAAGGTTGTATAAAAATAATTTGGAGTTTGTATCTCTGCTAACCTAATCTCCTATGCAGTGCTATGCTAAGTAAACCTTAAATAGACCCTCATTTTCAATAACAAAAAAAACATACTTATTGAATGCAAAGCGGTGTCCATGGAGGATAAACATGTGGAAGTGGCAATCTTTTCAGGGCAAAATCTTGACAGCAGCATGTGGTCCAGACTTTTAATAGGATTTGGCACTTCATAATGAACTCATTTGCAGTGTGGTGGGAAACTTCTAACTGGGGAAGAAGTTGCTTGGCTATACACAGTGACACATTTTAATTACATCTCATTATAGCTCATTACAATGAAAGATTAGTCATCGGAGTGTGTAATTGGCAAATACAGCCAACCATACATGCTAAAAGGAAACGCTATTGTGCAAACATGGAACTTACAAGACTTGGACTCTGGAGATGGCGGAGAGATGTTGGACACAGCCAGGTCACTCTTTGATTTCTTGGGCTTTGTGGGATGGATTTGCCATGGCTTCTCATAGCTGCTGTACTCCCGTCGAGCGTGTTTATATTCTGGAGTAGGTGAAACAAGAAAATCCCTTGAGCTTTGGTGCACAAACTTATCAGAAAACAAAGCCATGCAAGTTTGCGTCCACGCTCCGCCGCCCATTCTGCGGAGTAATTGTTGTTTGTGAACTTTCTACTTATCAGACAGAGCCGTGGGTATTGTTAGTGCGAGTGAATGTGTGCGGCTGTGTGTTGTCTGCGAGTGTGTGTGGCAGTGTGTTGTCTGACCTGGAGAGCTCTGGGCCCACAGAGCAGCGGAGCCGGAGAGGGCGCGGTGCAGCTTGCCGTGACTGTCTAGTTTGGTCTGCAGATGATCAATAAGAAAGGGGATTGGATGGTCTGGAGTCTCTGTTATCAATTTGGTCATCAGCTCCTGTGTGGGCAAAGGGAAAAGCAGCGTATTAACGTCACTGACCGTCTGTGGGGTGAAAAATGTACCGAGATAGTGAAGCAAAATAACAGAGAGGATAAGAAGAGGATGGTTCAGGTAATGACCAACAATTTAACATTTAAAAGTCTGGAATACTGTTTTGGCTGTCATAAATGGATTGATGGAAAGAGCACTTGAGTATAAGTTTCCATCTATTGCTTTTGTTGATAAACTGTTGTGATATTGTTATTGTTATGTCAATCTCTATTAAACGCAAAATAGATTTTCCCCAACTACTTTGTCAGGTTATGAGTGAGTGACAGCTGGATTAAACCACGCAACAGAAGTTGACAAAACTAAATGTGAAAATAATTCAGTTAAAGGGACAGTATGTACAGTATTATGCAGAATAAGTGGTCGAATAAAGTGTAAAGTCATCTTTTTGTACGTGCTTAAATTTATACATACTACTTTTTCAATTATGAATTATATTTAAAGGAAAAAAAGAAAAAAATGTCACCTGACAAACTGGCAATTGTATGTGTCAATTGTATTTAAGAATAACGTCTATGTCATTATTATTTGTATTATTAATGGAATGGAATGAATGGAAGCAAAGACAAAACAAAAACAAAAAAACACAAGCTGCTGTTGTGCAAATCGGTTCACTTTGTGTTAGCGGGACACATTATCAGTGTAGAGTCCTGGGAGGATGGAAAACAAACCCTGCAGTATGTTTTCTGTTTATAAATTCTGCTCATAACAAGCGATTGCATACAGTGGAAAACATGTCCTTGCGGTGGCATCTGTGGCGTGCGGGGCTGATGTATGGGACGTACAGTGAAAGCCCGGGCTCTCACTAGTGTACATTATGGCTGCTGGCCTTGGCGGAGCTGCATGTGCTCGGAAAGCTAATCAGGTAATTGGTCAGAGGGACATTCCTGCCCACTATCAGCCTCGCACTCAGCAGCAGCAGCCTCACTCCTACGGCACACCATTTTCTGCAGGCATCGGCCGCTACACCCAGCACACGGTTATAGAGAAGGGCGACTATTAAAGCTCAATCAAATATGTAGAAACCCCTGATGAAAAGATGTGTACGTTCTGTGTAGAAATAGAGGAAAAGCATATGCCGCTCTCTTATGTATAATTTTGCAAACCTGGCAACGGATGACTGTGGCAGTTTAGGAGAGTACAGTATGCCAGAGTGCTTTTAATTACTGGTATGTTTCCGATGTCAAATGTTTTACGCATCTTCTTTTCATCAAAATATTTTCAGTCATTCGTCTGGGTTGCTTCACAATCCATGAGGAAAGTGAAATGAACAGCTGCGCATTTAGTTCAGTATATTATGGTATAGAGGAATAAAAAAGCCTTTTACACAATGGTATGGAAATCTTTTGAAGTTATTTGGTTATTGATTGCTGGTGCCTGTGGAATCTCTCGTCCCACATGTCCAAATAAACGTTTTCTGTTCAAACTGAAGCCCTGCCTTCTGTCCATCACCACCATCACAATACAATGCCATAAAGACCATTCCATGAGTCTATTCATTATTGTTATCTGCAGAGTGCCAAAACACACATTTCATTATCCATAGACAGGCATTAGAGTAACGAAACAATATCTGACATTTTCGCTTTCTATGGTAATCAGGAGTTTTAAAATAACACTACCGTTTGTATTGGCTTTTGCAGAGTAATCTAATTCTTTTGACTGGTGCCGCTGCAGTGTATACTATAGTTTCAGAAATGGGTCAGCATTTCTGTATATGTGTGCAGATGTGATGCTGTTATAAGGTTAGAGTGACTTTCAAAGTAGCTGAGCGTGTATTCATGGTCTGTGTTTACAGTATAAATGAACCACCCATCAAATGGGGACAGAAATGGGGACAGAAAAGACACTGTAGTCTCTGTAGTCTCTCCAGTGTGCCCTGGGTCTCCCTGCAGGGCCCTCCTCCCAGTGGGATCTGCCCGGGACACCTCCTCAGGGAGGCGACCAGGAATCATCCATAACAGATGCCCAAGCTACGATCTTGTCTTTTTGTTCATTCCACAAAACTCATGACCATAGGTGAAGGTGGGAACAGAGAGCTTTTGACTCAGCTCCCTCTTCGCCACAACAGTCTGATACAACGACCGCATCACTGCACATGCGGCACTGTTCCATCTGTGGATATCATTCTACATCCTTCCCTCTATGAATAAGACCCCAAGATACTTGAACTGAAGAACCTCTTTACTAATTAAATACAAATGGTCAGCGTCATACTATGTAAAGTTGCAGTAAGTTAAAAGGACTCTACTGTATGTCTTTAACAGAAGAGAAACAGGGGGAGAGAAAACAAACTTAACTGGAGTACACTGGTGGTTTCATTAAATTTATAGAAGTTAAAGTCAGTGATAGCAATAATAGTTATTTACTTTAGTTATTATTAACTGCCTAAGAACGTCTATGTCCTTGGAAGCTCTCAATAAGTGTCCTCAAAGAACACATGATGAGAGACACTTGCTTCAAACACACACACCTTGTTCTCGCAGAAAGACTTTAAAAAAAAAGCACAGGTCAAGAGCAGGACAGGTTTTCTAAAGTCAGACCTTGTAAAGGATGGAAGGACAAACCTCCACAGCGGAATGATGAAGGAGGAGCGAGGAGCAGACAGCACAAGTCCAGATGAATTCAAAGAGTAATGTCTCATGGCAAGATGCAATCAGTGATCTCTACAGCACACATGTCTGTAAATAGCATGTTGGTATGGTATGTTCTAAGACTGGTTTAAATGATGAGTACAGACAGCCATACCCACATTGGCTGCGTAGGCTAGAGGACAGGAGTTCTTATCTGACCTGATATGAGAAATGTAAAAAACACTAGATTAAAGGCAAACGGAAGGAAGCTATCAGACCTGTACATGGAAGAGAAAGACATCGACAGTAGAGTTTGGTGCTTTATGTTCTGTGGTTTAAGCGTCTTCGTAAGCCTTACTCTTTTCTTCTCTGTCAGCGTGAGGTCTATTGAGTTTTCACCCCGGCTGGTGTAGACTTTTGAGTTGCCTGCTGAGCCTTAGAGCCCTATAGAGACCCGTCAAATACAGTGGTCTGGTCTGACACCCCATTTTAATATTGTATAAGGTCAGACATATGATGTTACAATGAGATTTTGATCATGGGTGGCATACTGAGAAGGATGCCGTGCTAGTTGGCTAAGCTCGGCCACTACAAGGAAACAAGCAAAAAAAATACAGTAATGTGTGCTTGTTTTCCAAATGATTTAAGATTATTAAAATGAGATTAACAAGATAAAATGTCCCCAGCATGTCATTGCACTAAAAGATTACAGGCGTCCCGAGAGAGAGAGCCGAGAGTGCCCCACACAGAAACCACTATAGCTGCCGTTGATTCACCTGCAGTGGTCAATAAAAGATAAGAGCACAAATCTTAGGTTCTACAAGGTGAAGGCGACATGTAGACAGCCCTCCCATAACTGGTGCTATACTGCCCTGTATACACTGTAAAACATGGATTTGTTACAACCGGAGAAAGCCACTTTGGGAGCCAGACCTTGAACGTAATCACATGGGAGTCACAATGTCACACATCAGCCCAGACCATAGACTGAACAAACTGTAGATGGATAATGCTAAACCTCGAGCTTTACAAAGTTTTACTCCAACTCGCTCTGGCTTCTATCGACGTACATTGAAAAGTAAACTCCTTTTGCTCAGTAACTGTCAGAAACTGTTTTATATTTTGACAATGTATTTTCAACACAAACAGGCAAAACACACACATACAGAACCACATTTTTGACTAAATAAATCCGAACAAAAGCAGAGATTTCTCTGATAATCAAAGTTCATTTCTTTTTTATTCCCCCGCATTTTTTTCTTATCTTGATTTAACTGAACATTCTTCTAAATTGTGATAGGGCTCAACATAAGCAGGAAATCTTGCAGTGTTTAAAGGTTTCTCATTATTTAACTTAAATATGAAATGTTTACAATATCTTATATTTTATGTCTTTGAAGAACTCTAAAAATATTGCCGAGGGACATTGGGACACATATTTTAGAAATTTAGAGGTTTTAACACATAATGATGAGGTTTAACATCCATCTATCCATTTTCTACCCCTCAATCCATTTCTGGGTCGGGGGTGGCCAGAGATTCCACCCAGTACACTTAGCACCAGCCCCTTTCTGATCATCTTGCAGGTAGTGAGTCCAACGGGTAAGTGTCTTGCCCAAGGACACAATGACAGCAGACATCAGTGGGAGTCGGTGGAGAAGGTCTTGTGGTGGGCTTGAACTCACAACCTTCAGGCTCAAAGGCCAATGCTCTACCAACTGAGCCACTGTTGCCCAGGTTTACTGTAACATTGTCTTTGTTAATCCAGACATAAGCCATATAAGGGTTGACCAATCAGATGCCTTAATTCGAGGGAAAAACTCCAGCTCGCCTTGGCAACCATCATAGCAACCCCTGTCAGAACAAATACTTATATAAAGAAATTAGCTCCAGAAATTGCCGTCTTCTGCACTCCTAATATACGCTCTATGGATCAGAGATACATTTTAAACAGTCTTACCCTTTTCTAATAATTCCGTTAATAAAAAAGGAAATGTAGATACAGAATGTGAATCCATTGTGTAACTTTGAATGAAGAAAGACTCGCGCTGTTTTATCGAACAAAGGCACATAATGACATCCACTGCGCCGTAATGTAATGCGCTTATCTCAGTTTTGTATTTTACAGATAAAAGGAAGAATCTATTAACCGAGAAAAAATCATCAACCTATTCATTATTGATGATAATGATAATTTTCTGGTAAAATGAGCATTCTATATTAATCTGATTCAAAGCACCGCTCCGCTCGGAACAGATGAACACGGAACCAAGAGGAATAAATCACACCGCGCCAGCATTAGAAACCGCAGTCTATTCTGTGCAAAGAAAGAGAAAGCAGTTCATCTACTTGTCAACCACTGTTCTTTTTCTTTATTATGTGCATGGATTTCAGAGGAGAAACGGTGGAGGAAAAATGAAACTGCAGGAGTTGAAATGAACTTGGTCTGTTTGGGAGAAGGTCGGAGTAACAAGCGCCCTAATCCTTCAATAGTAATTAACAAAATGTCTGAATAAAGTTGGTTGTTGATGCTCGAGCGTTGTCCTTGGGGCTAAATCTGAAATGGATTGGATCTGATGATCAACACTTTCATAATTATATATTCTGCTGAGCTGTTTGTGAACTAAAGTGTAAATAAATCATTACCAGATTCTTATCACGTCAAAATGCAAAAGCTTATAATGTAGTCTGTCTTATCAAGCCGGAGAGGGAGCGCATTATCAGTGTGGGAGTCAATATGAGAAATTTTAGTATTTTCAGAGTACAAATATATAAGTATAGGACGAGAATGACATGTTTACCATCATTGAACATGTAATTAAATAAATAATAATAAAATATGGTTGACACTGTTCTGTAAAACACATTGTTTTAATAAGGCTGTTCATCTTTTCGTTTGTTGAGTTACCAGTGGACAGAATTTTACAACTACCGGTTTCAAATGGCAAGATTTTCTATGTGGAAACAGCAAATGAGAATATATGATATTCTTTACTGCCTACTCCTCCTGTGCTAGATAATTAAAGTGGATTTGGACCAAAATGTAGGTATCTACTTTGATTCTCAAGCCAGATCAAATTCACATGTGTTCAATCTTATTTTTTAGTATTACTCACTAATCATGTTGGTATTTTTATGCCTGACTGTTGATTTTCAAATTTTGAGTTTTGACGATTTGGGTCAGATTCTTTAGATACATAAGAGCATTTGCTAGGCCCGCTTTAAGTCGGCTAAAAATGTTTCGGTCGACTCCAGCTCTGCAATCTTACAGATTTCCCTAAACAATTGTTAGATAATGGGATTTCTGAACATGATGTGCCTTCTTTGTGATTCAAGATACTGATTCACAATAGGATCCACAATGGCAATAGTGAAACAAAAAGCCCTATAGCCTCAAAAAGCAGGTATGTTTATATTCAGACTGCAATGTTTATCATCAGGGGAGCATCAGTGCCACGGGCTGAGAGAGGACATGATGAAGGTAATTGCACAAACCAGGATGTGCGTCTGTACGTCCACACAAAACCCTGGCCCTCACCTTTCTCCCCCTGGACGCGGGCCTCAGGCGGCCTGTCGTGTTGTAATTACTGTAACCGTGCCTGAAGGAGCAGCGCGTTAACTCGAGCACGGCCGCAGATCCGCTACACTCCTTCCAAAGCAGAGACGAGGCTGAAATCTGATATTGCAATGACACACACTTTAACGAAGTGTGTTGCTTTGAGTTTGCAAAAGAAAACGGATCATAAATAACAGCTAGAGTACATAGAGTACAAGTGATGAGGAGATTAGTTACTGTTGTCTGTCTCTATCTATAAAACAAGGAATATTATGTCGCTTTCAATCCTAAAATGTTTCTTATCTCATCACCTTCTCCAGTCTTTACCAGACATTAGACCTACACATTCCTTGTCAGTGTGAAACCTTTTAAAATCTATATCTACACTAAATATATTCATGTGACATCATCAGCTGCTCACTTTCTATTTGTGATGTTCAATAATAGCACTAACTGAATGAAGCACTTCTCAAACATTGGATGAGCCCAAAGTGGGGTCCGTGGATGTTTTGGTGCACCCCCCAAAGATTGTGGTCAATTCCAAGCATTGATGGTCAGAGGTTATAAGCTACCCTGGCATGTTCTACCTCATTATCAAGCTTTTCTAAAAAAAAAGCCATGTCCTTGATTCTATTCTAACCTTTCAACCCAAGACACAATTAGCAATAGCTCACAACAAAAAATAACTATTATGGCACAACAATTTATATCCAGATTATTCAATTCTCACAATATTATTATAATTTGTTACTTTAATCTTATTTTGATTGCGAAATACTATACAATTTCTCTAATGGATCAATGAAGTCTGTTCAAATCTAAGTCTAAGTCAAGTTTTGGTTCAATCCAAACATAACTGAACAAACAAAAATGAATGTTGATTTTATGTCCACTGTATCTAAATATCTAAACATGGAAAATAAAATCAATCATTCATCAAAATGCTACCATTATATAAAATAAATAATTAAATATAAATCTAAACATAATGCAAAATATGTTAAATAAGCCTTCTGATGTCTGGCCCCCTGCTCTCTTCTTCAGATGTATTTTTTGCCCTCTGAGTTAAATAGTTTGGGCGCCCCTGCAACAGAGCTTTTGGTCAAATACAAGAAGCCTTCAAGTGTCCCAATAATCAAACACTAAGGACAGGAATCGAACCAGCGACCTTCCTGCTATGAGGCCTGACTGCTTCCCACTCAGCCACTTTAGACAGGTGCACTTCACTCGACGACTACCCCCTGAGAGTAAAGACTTGTTAAAACTTGCAAAGACACCAACACAAATCCTATAAATGTATAATAGATCCAGGCAGAAGTGCACTGTAAAATGGACCGAATCCCATCCCGCCGCACGCAAGAAATGAGCTTTTAAAGTCTGGATCGATAGGTCAGAGAGAGCTAGGACCCTCTGGTCACTGCACAGGTCAATAGACAAAATGGTTTCCTCATAGATGAATAAAAAGTTACACACATTCACAACACTGTACATAGGCAATGAGCTGAATTTAAAGTATTCATAGTAATAATAGTTAACATTTAAGGCATAAAATTCAAAATGCTCTGAAATCCTTCTCAAGCCAACAATAGCAGCTAAAATGTCATGGAAGGAAAGACTGTATACCATCTGAATTGAAATTAGCTGAATTTGGGGACATTTGGGCTTTTGTGTGGTGTGTGTGGGGATAAAAAAACAAAAAACATTTCATTAGAGAGGACGGAGAGGAGAAAATCAATTTTCTTCAGCAAATCAAAAGCTGTGTGTCTTCACAGTCAGAGCAGGAGCCACTCTGTGACTGTGGAGCAGCACTGCAGCAGATGGGGCAAAGACATGTTTTACTGGGAGGAACAATACTTGTGTAAACTTTGCTGTTTGGATAAGAACGACGAGTTTAAACAATGGGATCAGTGTCAAATCTACACTGATAACTGTGGGATGGAGGTAAAACCAGGAAGATGAAGATGATCGATACAGCGGATAATGTTGTGGGAAAATCAGTAAAATGCTAGTGACATGGAGTTGTCATCTGAACAGGTTTCATACATTTATTCTGAAGTGTGTTTTTTCCCCGAGTTTTAAAACCTCTGGGTTCGATACGCTGTGGCTCTATTCTTGTTTAAAGCACTCAACAATCTGGCAGCCTCAAACGTCTCTGACCTATGGTGGCTTTCCAGATGCACAGCCAAAAGACCCTCCAATCGTAACCTTCTTTCTCTTAACCGTCATCCGTCCAGTGAAGCTGAAAGTTGGAGAAGCTACTTTCTCCCATTATGCTCCCTGTAAATGGAATGCTCTGCCTGCCACCATCAAATATGTCTGCTTCAACACTGCCCTCTTTCACAGTAAATTAAAGCCTCACTTGTTTGAATTTCCTATCTTAGATTGAACCAGTCTCTCTTCGAAGTCTTCACGTCTTTATTTCTAACACTGTCTTTGCAAACAAAACTCAGTTGAAGTACTGTGCTATATAAATATATTTTACTCCACTGCGTTTTTATAAAGAACATTTAAAAATAAATAAATAATAATAATCATGATCTGCCGCATTCTAGCCACGGATATTGTATATTTGCCTGAAATGTTTCACTGTTTTGCATTCAACAAATATTTTTTCTGTATTTTTCTTGTCACAAACATACACTGTGTTCTTGTGTGTGGGCTTGCCTCTCCACAGATCTGGATTCTGTCTTGGGCGTGATCTCGTGCTGTATACTGTAGAACATTCTATCTCGTCACGGGCATAGTGTCTGCATGAAGATGGCAATGGTTCCATTAAAAATGCTCCTTTAGGGACTGAGTTTGACAGAGACAGAGACAGAGTGCAGCGGGTGCAGAGGAGGTGAGGACAGATGTGAAAGTGCAAACACTGGACACTTTCCACTCCAGCTCATTCTGCCTGTCATGTGTGTTCCCTCTGATGGAAGTCTCTGTCCAAGGTACTGAAGCAGCCTGCCCCACTGCTGCCCTCACTTAACTGTATCTAAGTAGGACAAACTATAACATCAGCATCCAGGAGGAACAATAGCAACTCAAAGATAACATTACACAGCGAGGTCTTTGATATATCATAGTCTTGTGTAAATTCATCCAATTCTCATGACCACGTGCTCTGGGAACCACCATTTGTGCAACTGAACTTACTCTAGACCCATGCATCTGCAGCATTTGGAATTGCAATAGTATAAAATATTGGAAAGAGTACATTTTCTGAGGACTGGTGTGAAAACTAGAATTAGATGAACAGCCTTCTCTCTGTACGGGCTGTAAACGCAGAGTATGATAGAGGCGCTCAGTGGTATAGTTTGTCTTCCCATTTGGCACAAACTATAAATTACACACATTACGTCTTATTGCAGTCCGGTGCTAAAAAAAAAAGAGCTTCAGTGACAACTTCTCCTGGTTGTGTCTGCACTTACCTCAAACAGGGGTCCGATCTTGTTCTTCTCCAGATACGTCTGAATTCTGGACTGTTGCGGAGACGCCATGAAGACCGAGTGGGGCTGGAGCGCAGCGGGAGGAAATCATGGGGTGAGTCCCGGTCTCATTCGTCCTTCACAAAGGCGTCTGGTCGGCGGGGAGAGCGCGGAGGTGCAGCGGGAGGAGGAGGAGGGGGGAGCCGGGGTTGAGAAGGCTCATTCTGGACCCTCGGCAGCCAGCCCCCAGCCCGGGACTGTGCTCTGTCTGTCCCAGTGAGAAGCACCGCAGCTGGAAGTGCTCTGTACAAGTGTGTCTGCGCTGTGCTGGTCCCACATCCCACATCCCGGAGCCCACAGCCCACCGCCCAGAGCCAGGAGCCAGGAGCCACTCCCCTTCAGCCGCGCGTCTCACGCACCTGAACGTGACCACGACTCAGTTGCTTTGGACTCAGAGCTCACTAATAACAGAGTGCTTGACTGGAACAGTTCAAGTGGCAGTTTAAAAAAAAAAACATTATTATTAAAAAGAAGCTTACAGCCTCCGTTTTCAGAATGCACTTTGGCTTTAGGCGCCAAAGTAGCATATTTCTATATCCACTTAGAAATGTTTCCCTACATTGATCTTTCATATTTCTATTTTATTTATTTCCTTCATTTGTTTTATGTACCGTCTTGTCCGGACTATGAGCCGCTACTTTTCGGCTTAGAGAGGCTTATACAGCGATGCGGCTAATATGTATATTTTTATTGAGGAAGTTGGGCTGAGTTTGAGAACTTATTATTTCTGGTGAATCAGAACAGACATGGAAGCTAACGGTTAAGCTGTTAAACACCTCGTCATTAAATCATGTTGTGACCAGGTTAAAACAGTCATCTATCAGCTACATCACAACACAAAATTATGTTGTCCACATTTAGGCTGCATTATATTCAGGTGCAGCCTATATGTGGACAAAATGTACTTTGTTTTCAAGTGTTGCTGGTGCAGCTTATTTACAGGTGTGCCCAACAGTCCAGAAAGTATGGTAGTGTCTCTTGACAAGTTTCAGGGTTATTTTTGTTTCACATTCTGAAATCCTTCACAAGCCAACACCAGCTGATAAAATGTCATGGAGGGCAATTACAAGACTGTAAAAGACCTCAATTGAAATTAGCTGAATTCAGGACTTTTAAAACGTTTCCGGGCTCCACTTTTTACCGTTTTACATAAAATATCTGAAAAATCTCTGGCCTAAAGGGTTATTATGGTTGTTTATCCAAATGACTTCCAATATGGACACAGTGAACTGGAGACACAGCTGGAGCTTTTGTAACTTTATTGACCCATTAACAGCCTACTTTATCGGAAAGTTGCGCGCGCATCGAGGCAACAGAAGTACTATGTTTACCTGCATTATTGACACCAGCAGGATGCAAGATCTGAATACCAGGTTGCTGCGTTAATGGGTGTTTTAAACCCAAATACTGGACAAGGACTTAAGTTCGGGCAAATCAAGGGACCCTCAGACTACATAACAACAGAGCAAGAGTAGCCTCGCTTCAGGATATCAAGGGCTAGCATTAGCAATAATTAGGACCAGGAGTTATGGATCAAAGACACACCTCATATCTGTAGTTTCCATCTTAAATCAAGTATATTTGGTTCCATAATAAAGCCATACTTCTGTTGCCTTGATGCACGTGCAGCTGTCTTGCTCACAAACACTGACCGGGTCTATTGTCTGTTGCATAGAGAACTACTCCATTCATCTACCTGGCATATGATTATTTACACAGACAACTGTCCTGAGTATTGATATTACATGGTATAACTGGCTTCACTATATGTCCTACCATATAGACTACTGTCTGTTAATAGTGATACAAGGTTTTATACAATACATGCATTACAACTCCCCACTTGTCTAAATATTTACAGGGGAGACATAGCATATTAATACAACATCGATAATGTAAGAAAGTACTTCAGTCTGGAATAAGACATTAGCTAGGGTAGTTACAGTACATATAGGGCGCCTCAACAATGAGAACAAAATGCATACAAAATGGCAGTGGAACTTTTCAGACAGCAACTTTTTTCCAACGTTACAATGCCTTAGAGGTGACAGCAAAATAAAAAATATGGAAAAATATAATATGTAATAAAATACTATTTACGATATTTCTGTCTATTTACACGTAAGGCAGGGATGGAAAGGGTAAGGGTGGTGGTGATTCTTCATTGGCTCTGGGGATTTTCAGCGATGGCCTCTCAGGGGTCGCCATCTGGAGGAGGAGGCTGACAAAGCTTGTACAACCTGTCGGCGGAACATAGAGAAAAAGCAAACATGCATTTCATCATCAGACATGGAGGTCACAAGCTCACTCACTCAAGCACAAGAAAATGAATTCACGACAAAAAAGCAAACTCCCATGACACAGTAGCTTGAGACTTTTACATAACGGTGTCTGCTAAAGGTTTTATATAAGCTACACCCATCCACTATGCGTTATATGCTGTTACGTGATGTCGAAAATTCAAGTTTAAAGGGCCATTTTTATCACAGCTTTCCATCAGTCCTCAAGCTCTGTCAACTTAATTGTACCCTTCAAATGCAAATGCCACCATAACATGCATGTATAAGTGATGAGGAAATACACTCATTGGAAGAAACTGGTTCTGATCAAATGTTTACAGAATAATATTTCAAAAGTTATGTTTGACAGGAATACATGTATATCGGAGGCTATACATAATATTATCTATAATGTCTGGCAGGAGGTTGGTCATGTAATAGTGAAAATATAACAGAGAAAATTACCTCGGGGCAGAGGTAGGTGTCCGATCTCGTATTCCCAGATTCTTGGCGGAATTTTGACACCTCGCTCCCTGGAAGACATCAGAATTCATGACCCGACATGCAAACATAGCATATAGGAAGTAATCATCACACCGGAAACAGTTACTCATACAAATACTTACTTTACTAGTCGCTCACAGAGTTTTTAAAGCAGTACAAATCAAAAGCTTCCCATGCAGTTGTAATCCTTTAACAGTACGCGTTTAAAACTCCCTAATGTCTAACAACACATCTCATAATGTATTAATGAAGGGTATGAAGTCCAGACCACCTGCTCCAATTTACACCGCAGCTGGTCCTGATCCTAAAAGTATTCTCACTTTGGCTTTGTATGCAAATCATGTGCAGAAACGTCTTCGCATGGAAATAAAGTCACGACTCAGGATTTTGTAAGATAAATGTTGTATGGAAGTGTGAACGTGCTTAGTCAGGAGCACAGCTTACTTACCCTGAGCTTTTATTTTTGTGCACCCAGCAATAAACAAGCCCACCAACTATTTCCTTATTATGTTGCCTCTTCTTATGTGCTAATTAATTATGGATACTATTTTCATTATTGTTAAATCTGGAAAGGTGTATTAGGATATCTATTGTGTGTATTGGTTACTCAACAATGACAGTATGGCATAAAATTATCTTTACGTACAACACATGAGGATATGGGTTGTCACAGGAGGGAATTGAATAGAGATTATAAAAGTGAAATCCCCCCAGGGTCTAAAACCTGGTGCTGAAGTGATGAGGTGTTGAGGTGGAAATGGGGAGGAGGCAGGTTGCTGCGCGAGCTGAAAAGTTAAGAATGTGAGGCACTGTTTAAAAGCCACAGGTGAAGCAGATACTGAAGTTGCAGAGGCACAGGTGAGAAGTATTTTCAGTCTTCCAGTCTGAACTTTTGCTATAGATCCATTTGTATGTTTATTTGTAGGTCAACACTGGACAGAGATGATTTTAGAACCAGTGCTTTTTGCGGAAGTCACCACTTTTACTATTTCCTTGATATACCTCACCTTATTTGCTCCTTGGCATTCAACAATCAGTCTGTAAAAGGCATACCAAAGCCAAAAAAAAACTAAATCTAATTATTGTCCGTCTGGCACTTGGTCATCAGTGACTGTCCGGTGCATTAGCTGACCCTTCATATTCTCTGTGCCAGTCCTGACCTCAGCTCTGTCTACGGATCAGGAATGCATCAGCAATTACGGCCCTATCACAGTCCCCATCCTGATGCCCCGGGACAGATACGCCCCCTAATGTCTCCGAATGACACTGCGTCCAGGAGAGATCGTACAAGGACAGTGTATTTAGGCTTCAGCTTGGACATGTGCTGACCTCGGATTTATAACGTCATAAATACTGTATGAGGTTTGTCTTAATTTTTCATGTGTTCATATGTCTTACCAGTGTGTGTGTGCTTGTGTGTGTTTGTTTTGCCAATGCCAATGTATCTCTGGGGCATATGAGGTAAACCCAATAGCACTGCACTGTACTGTATATCTAATAAGTTGGTACTATACTGTAGATCACACGCACATTCTTCAGGTTTGTCAACACAGAGAAGATAAAAAGTGAATGTTGAAAAAAATACTCAAAATAAGCCAAGAATGAACAAAATTTACCAAACCATATCTTGAAATCACGGGTCATCTGGATTTATCAAAACACATAGAAGATATTTTGTGTGTAAAAAGCACTCTGCCCCACGTGAGGTGAGGGAACATTTACCAGTGCGGCAGTGCAATGGGCTGTTTGTACTGCAGGTGGGAGGAAATGAAGCGGATACTCGTAATGTTATATACCTCTCATTCCGACAACAGCAGGGTGTCCTGGAGGAAGATTGTAAAAACACAAGCCACAACTGTGTCTTGACTGTATCCAAATGTATCGTACCGCTCTCACAGTAATTACAAAATAGACACAATACATTCTGATTACTGACACTAAATCAACTCTAATTCGAGACAAATTATAGGGGGGATTTGATTGGACACAAAATACGGGAAAAGAGTTTACAGGCTTGAACGCTGTGATGACCTGGAAGTAGTGTTTTTAAATGTGTGTTTCAATTTATAACGTTTTTTTTAACACATTGGCATCATTAGACCAACATTTCCAACTTATACAAAGGACAATTCTCTTTGGAAAATTCCATAAATCAATACTAGTTTTAGTATAATTTGATATTAAGGTATTGTTGGTTGTTGACCACCTGAATATCTGGAAGTAGTCTCA